CGATCATGGTATGACAGTGTGAACAGCACAAATCCGATATTTTCAAATCCGATCTGGGTCACTTTCGTATGTGGTACTGAATCCGATACATATCCGATGTTTTAGAAAGCGACTGCTGTTTGAACGGTCATGTCGCATTATATCTGCCTTTTACGTCACTGACACAAGACAGACGCCAATTATCAGCGCCGGATAAGCGTCCAAGAAGACATCGCGAACGTTTCTTGGCCATCCCGTGTAGATGTCAGTGAAACTGTTGGGAAGACAACGTTGGAGAAACGTGAACATTTTTGCGCATGCGGGCCGCTTTGAGTGTTCACACTAGAGAGCGTTTGCTGTCACATTTTATTTGTAGTGTGAACAACCAGACAAAAAAAAAAATCGGATTTGATCAAAAAATTGGAATTGAGCATTAAGACCTGCAGTGTGAACGTAGCCTTAGACATATAGCAACATCAGTCAGTGACTCTCGGTGAAACATGCACATGTTGTAGGTTACAAATATTAATGTCGGAGCGCTGATGCTGAATTCAAACAGTCAGCACCAGCGCTCGACTTTGGTCTGCTCACTAGCTTGTAGGAGGCCTGCATCTCTTTGCATACCACAGCTACAACTGAGCAAGCCAAAGTGATACATGGACCAGATTTTTTCAGTAAAAGGACTAGATCTTACTGTCCTTTTACTACCTGCAAAGAAAGTGTAAATAAGCACAGCCCACTTTTCTAAAGATGGAGCAGCTCTCTACCTTCCTAGCGGTCTCCATAGCGGATTCACTCTCCCAGCCGTAGGCATGCGTTCTGGAGTGAGGGTTACCGTAGTAATTCACCTGGTACGGCAACATGGCATCCAGCACCCGGGGATCCTAAAGACACACACAAACATATGAAACTCTAAGTACAACCAGCTTTATGTCCAACTCTCTCTGACATCAGCTGTAAAAGCCTGTAAAAGTGACAAAGTGCTTAGTAACAGTTACCATGGGAGTGGTTGCCTGGAAGTCCATGTAGAGGGGGCGAGGCTCATCCTGTTCATGTTTCTTGATCAACTCTGCAGCATAAATTACAGTATATTTAAGACATTTAAAGCCATTTTTAAGACCACGTTAAATTTATTAATGTAAAAATAACAGCATTTAAATTGTGACCTCAAAGGGAAAACTGTTAAGACAATATGGCCTTGAATTATTTTTTTATTCACCTTGACCTAGATAACTGGCAGTAAATTGAAAAATGGATTAACTAAACACTAAAAAAA